GAAAAATAACTAGAATGTAAGTTTATTATTTTTTAAGGAATTCCATCAGATTATTTATCTTCAAAATTAATTATCCAAAATTTGGAATATAAATAGTGCCAGTGGCATTTTGAATATTTCCCAAAATATCATCTTTATACATCTTAAGTTTTTATGCAAAATTTTAAAAATTTGAATGTTTGTTTTTAATTCAGAACAGTTCATTGCAACATTTTTTAATTATATTAGATTTCCTATTCGTGAACTATTAGTATTTTAAATAGTTTTTAAAACAACTATTTAAAATACTATTAGTACAACTGTTCTGAAATTGTTTTCGAATCAAAATGTCTGATTTTCTACAGCAAACAATTATTGAAACAAAATGTGAGAGAGAGAAATATACTTAAAGCCTAAAAAATTTTAAGTAATTTGCATGTTCCTTGCAATAGTAGTTCATTTCAGACAATTTATTTCAGAATTCTAATAAACTTTATTATTACTTAAAATATATTATAAAGTTTTATTATTATTACTATTTATTATGAATTTATATTAAAAAATCAAGGCTTATTTCTCATTTCTTATAAATAAAATAAATGTTCTAATTCAGCATCATGAAGGTGACAGTGTGGTCAGGTAATACTCTTTGGTAATGGTTTAGCCTTGTGAAAGCATACTCTTGTGATTCACCACACCATGGGAGTCAAGACTGTCAATATGGATTTGATGTTGCTGTGCACCTACCATGCTTTTTTTTTTTCATTGGATATGATGAATGTCTCCACTGTGATGAATGCATCTTGGTTAAGAGTCATACCCTTAAACCCACAACTTATCACCATTGAGTCCAGGAAGTGGGGTCACTGTTTGCACAGTTCAGTATGTCCTGCAAGACTTTGTCAGAGTGCTTCTGCTCCATTGTTAGCAGCATTGGCACAAATTCTGAGGACAATTTTTGCATGAGAAATTCTCTTTCAACATGGCATCTACTGAACCACAGCTTACCCCACCTTGTCTGCAAATTCCTGGATGTTGATACAATGGTGTTGCATAACCAGTCTACATTTGCTCAGTGACCTCATTTCAGCTTGTTGTAGGCCTACTTCAATGTCATTCACTCTCCACCAATATGCAACCATCTTTGAAGTGATTCATGTGGGCTCATGGTATCTTTGCTGAAAACCTGCTGAATCTTCCAAATGTTTCAACTTAGATATCACCAAGTTTCTGGCAAAATTTGATACAATAATGCTGCTCAAGTTATTCTGCCATTTCACAGCAAATGAAAATACAATAGGCATTCACTACACTGATTCATTGACTGATGCTCTCTGCTGACAGGAAAAAAATTTATGCACAGGCATGAATATTCCCATTACTTTCTGGCTAGCAGACATGCCCCAAGTTTTATTTGTTTTTGCAGGAAAAATTAATGATTGATACTTTTTGAACACTCCTCATATATTAATTATTTCAGTATATTATTTTTTAAAACCTAATAATGCACACATTTTGAAAGTTTAATAATCTTGCTATTATTTTCCATCTACTTCCAATGTTTCTTTGAAATATAATTATTGTCTCTTAAAATATATAATTTCAAATTAATTTGTTATGAATTAACAACATTTCTTTCANTTTGTAGGTGATCATCTGGATGATATGGTAAAACTTGTTTAAATAAATAGTTATTTAAAATAGTTTTAACATTAAAAAAATGTTCTTTGCATTGATATTAATTTCATATAATCCATTTGGAAATAAGCACACATATATATTATATGATTTTTAAAGTAAATATAATCTTACATATGTATTGTAATCTGATTTTATTTCATATGTATTAAGATAAATTCTAAAATTAGCAATTTGTTTTAAAACCTTTTCACTCTCAAAAAATGTTACTATAAAACCTAATCAACAATATATTTACAATTTTGTGTATTATCCTCAAAAATTGCTAACTGAAGAGGTGTTATTAAATTTCAAATGCATTTTAACAAGAAATTTTTATTGTGTAAGATAGATGGTAAAAAAAAAATAAACTGCAAACTTGATAATTGGTTACTAATTATTATAAGTTTTTTGTGAATTTTTTAAGATATTGAAAAACTAGTTTTAGCATTCACTGATGCTATTGGATATAAGTAGCACTGAATATGCCAATCCATTCCCCCATAAACTATGTCACTGTTATACATAAATTAAGAATACTCAAAATGGAAAAAATTGTAAATTGAATTTGTGGTGATGCAAAATTGTGAGTCACCAGCACCTACTGGAGGACAAAATGATGAAAAATCATCATAATTAAATATGCCATGGGAAAGTATGAAACCAAGTAATAAAATATAATTTTGAAAATGTTTCTTACACTCCCAAGTAGTTGCCGAATGTAAATAAAATGTATTAGGAATGTGTTCAGAAAGCATTGATTATTTGGCTGGGAAAAATACAATTATCCACCTGGAGGTTGGAAACCCTAATTTCCTTCAAGTTGTCTCCTTGGGCTTGCACTCACTTTTTTTGGTGTTATTAATGATGTAATAAGTAAATTACATTTAAGTAAAGTAAGAAAAAGGCAGGTTGAAATGTTAATAATATTAAAAATTATTTTAACTCTGCACATTATCAAGAATACTAATAAAGCTGATTTCCCCCCTCTAAATTGTAAATGAAAATTTCCATTATTTATTTTGAATTACACACGAAATTTTTGAAAAAAAAATCTGAAGATTGTTGTTGAAAATGATATAAAATGTTAGTTTATGATTAAATTGTTTTTACTTGCTGGATTCTTGTTTTTGATGTCAATTTATTTGAAATATATTAGTTTAAATAAACTAGTTTGAATTTATGTAGTTTAGCTATTTTGTTAAAAAAATTATTTTCTTTTTAAAATAATTGGTATCTTAATACACATAATTTGAATTTAATATATTTTGTGTAATTATCAATCTTTGCTGTTCATATTTATGATTATATTTAAGAAAAAGAATAATAAATTAAAGCAAGCTATGATAATTTATGATGAAAAAGAATGAATTACCCTACATTAAACCTCTAATCATGCTGCAAATAAATAAATTTTAGCTCTGATATAAATTCTTTTGATAAAATTGAATAATAATTTAAAATTCTTGCTAGATATCATATAAAGTTGAATCAAAATGAGATAAATCAATTAAATATTTTTGTTTTCAAATTTTATCCCAAAAATGTGAATAATTATCAGATTTTGTTATCTTTTGTTTTTTGAACAGTTCAGTGATTTTAAAAAGAACATTCATAACAAATGCAAAATTAATCATTTTGTATGACTTAATTATGATAAAATGTGTCAAATTTTACTATTGTGAATTAAAATTTCAGAATATTTTTATGATAAAATATAATTTATTCTGAATAAAATCCAAAGTCAGTACTTTAAAATAGTTAAGTTTTATTATGTAAATTTACAAATTAGATAAAATTTTCAAATCTTTCTAAACATTCAATAAGCTATTTAATCTGTTGAAGCCAACTCTCAATTATTTGTGTGTAAACTGTAAAATAGAAAAAAGCAATAAATGTTTAATTGTTCACTTTTTTAAACTGTGTATAGAACATACTTTTAAATATTTAATCTATCTTTTGCAATATATATACATTTATAGAAATTAGATATATAGTGATTATTTATTTCAAAACTGAAAGTTTAGGGTAGAGAGTAATTTGAATTATAATTTTTATTCACTCAAATAATTGAGAGTTGACTATCTTCTCAAATAGAATATATTTTCCATTATCTTTTAAAGGCCAAGAAAGCCTGAATCTGAAGCAAAAAGTGAACAGGTAGGTTATCATGATGGAGCTGTCAAGTTTTCTTTTGCCAGGTTTAGTCATTTGCTTTGCACAGCATCATGAAGGTGACAGTGTGGTCAGGTAATACTCTTTGGTAATGGTTTAGCCTTGTGAAAGCATACTCTTGTGATTCACCACACCATGGGAGTCAAGACTGTCAATATGGATTTGATGTTGCTGTGCACCTACCATGCTTTTTTTTTTCATTGGATATGATGAATGTCTCCACTGTGATGAATGCATCTTGGTTAAGAGTCATACCCTTAAACCCACAACTTATCACCATTGAGTCCAGGAAGTGGGGTCACTGTTTGCACAGTTCAGTATGTCCTGCAAGACTTTGTCAGAGTGCTTCTGCTCCATTGTTAGCAGCATTGGCACAAATTCTGAGGACAATTTTTGCATGAGAAATTCTCTTTCAACATGGCATCTACTGAACCACAGCTTANCCAAAAGTATTTCTCATTTCTTATAAATAAAATAAATGTTCTAATTTTACAATGTTTCTACACACCTACACAAACAAACAAACAAAATACAAACATACAAATATATTGAAGAGAGAAAGCAAATAAAACTTTCAGTTCTCTAATTTGTCCAGTGTGAATTTCCTACAAGCAAGAAGGAAAGATTTCCATTTATAATTGTTGATAAAAGGAAGATAATTATATATAAAGTAAATTTCTTGAAATTTTATTGTCCAGTGTAGAATTTTATATTATAACTATCACCTTTTCAAATTACTGGAGCATTCAAATAAAAGCAAAACCTTTAAATACCAGTAACAGAATTTTAACGAAAACGTTCATAGTTTTTGTTAAAATTCTGTTACTGATATCTAAAGGTTTTGTTTATATTAGAATTGTATAAAAATAACAGTCTTAATAAATACTTAGCACTGAGAAATTTTTATGAATTTTACTCAAATTTTAAGAAAAAGAATAATCATCATCATGAATTTTGTATAATTGCATTTATTGTTAAAGAATTTTAATGATTAATTAAATTATCTGTTATAAATATTCAGAATGCCATAGCAGATATTCTATTAAACATTACTTAGATTTTTCAGAATTCTTACATTTGTTTAGAAATGCGTGTTTAATTTCCTTATCAAAGGTATAGAATATTTATTTGATAATTCATACTTGGTATCTTCTATCATGTTAAAATAGGAGGAAGAAAATGTTAAAAAAGGTCGTGGGCGTCCTCGTAAATTGGATTCAAACCAGGTAATCTAATTTGAAATTAAAATGAAATATTTTTTCCTTGTAAAATTCTAAATACGTGGGTGGTTCGGAAAGTTCTCGGAATTGGATATATAGAAACAAAATCTGGTTGAATTGGTTTTTTTTAATGTAATCTTCTTTTAGAATAATGCACTTATTCCAGCAGTGTTCTGATGCCTTCATTCCAACAGAAAAAGCTGATTTCCAGATTTTTAAAAAATAGCCGTTCATTATAATGATGACCTCTTCATTTGTGTGAAATTTCTTGTCTGCTATCATTTTCTTCAGGTTTTGAGAGAGATGGAAGTCATTAGGAGAATATGGGGATGAGAAAGGAGTTGGAAGTGATGGTAGGCAAGTGTTTGCTGGGTAAGATGGCAGAATGCACTGGTGCTTCGTCATGTTGAGAAAGGATTTTCTTTTTCTTTATATGAGGACTTTTCTCTGTAATAGCAGTCTTTAGTTTGTCTAAGAGGTCACAATAATAAGCAGCAGGTAATGGTCGCATTTTTTTCCAAGAAGTCAACAAGAATAAAATTCTCTTGGTATTTTAAAAAATGGAAGCTATGACTTTCCTCACTCAGGGAACCACTTTTGCCTTCTTCAGAGTCGTTGAAGATGCATATTTCCATTGTTTAGATTGTTCAGTCTTGCATATAATAGTGGATCCATATCTTATTTATGGTCACATACTGATGCAAAAAGTCCTTTAGATTCTTCTGATATATGTCCAAACACTCCTTAGAAATTGTTGCTCACATACGGTTTTGTTTGACTGTGAGCAAACATGGCACCCATCTTGTAGAGACTTAGTTGTGCCTAGTTCTTGGGTTAGGATTTTGTAAACCCATTTAGCAGAGATGCCCACGACCTCAGCAATCTCTCTCACTTTCAAGCAATGGTCAGCCAGCACCATATTGTGAATTTTGTTTTTCTGGGGTAATAGTATTTGCTGATGCAACTGCATCTTCCGTATTTTCTTGGCAAAGTTTGAAAAAGCATTACCCACTTGATTACCATTGAATGTGATGGGAGCAGACTATTACAAAACTTGATCCAAATTGGCTTTGATCTCGGTGACATTTAACCTCTTCTTTGCAAGAAACTTTATCAAAATGCAAATTTCTGTTTTCTCCATTTTCTTTATTGTAATCTACCTTCACTGCTTCTGTTGTCTGCTACAACACTTTCTATTTCCTCTTTGGTGCCAAAATGTTGCACACATGAGAAGTAGTGATATTGGTTCCTGACACCACCTGTTTTATGTGGATACCACTAGCTATATGCGATTCCAAGAACTTTGAACCACTAACGTACTTTATTGTGAAAATAAAAGAAATTTTTTTGTTTTTCACTATTGTTAATAATCATCTGTGAAATGAAATAATTATTATTAGTCTATTTTTTCACACATTACAATGTTTTAATTTTTGAAATTATATTTTATATCATTATATACACTTAATTTATATAAGTTAAGAAATAATTTTCAAATATTTGATATGAATTTTTAAAAATTATATTTAACTTCACTCAAATAAAATAAACTAATTGGCAAAAATAAGACTAAACAGCTACATTAGGGAAACAACAATTATTTGTTATTTAGACATAATTTTTGCCATAGAAGGCCAAAAATATTTATAAAATAAATAAATAATTTTAGTTTCCTGACCATAGCTGTTTGGTCTTATCTTAATTGGCAAAAATAATCTTAATAAGAAACAAAATTTTTTTAATATAAAAAATAATAAAGAACTTACAGTTTATGTAATTTAACATGAGAGCATTAAACAAATCAGAAAAGTTGTTCAAAGATAAAGTTATGGTATACATTATAAACACATTTTTTAAATATAATTATTATTATTTATCATTATTACAATAATGTGTATATATATAACATACATTAATTGAAATTTTGAATTGCATTATATAGTATTGAATCAATATATACTTTCTTAAATTTTATTTTAAATTAAACATACATTGATCACTTAAAATCTGCTTTTTGTATTTTAATTACTAGTAAGAACTTTTAGAAAGATGAGCCAATTTTACAAAATAAGTGTTAAAAAATTTTTAATTTGATATATAACTGTTATTAGAACAGAAATTTAATTTAAAGATAGTAGAAAAATAACTAGAATGTAAGTTTATTATTTTTTAAGGAATTCCATCAGATTATTTATCTTCAAAATTAATTATCCAAAATTTGGAATATAAATAGTGCCAGTGGCATTTTGAATATTTCCCAAAATATCATCTTTATACATCTTAAGTTTTTATGCAAAATTTTAAAAATTTGAATGTTTGTTTTTAATTCAGAACAGTTCATTGCAACATTTTTTAATTATATTAGATTTCCTATTCGTGAACTATTAGTATTTTAAATAGTTTTTAAAACAACTATTTAAAATACTATTAGTACAACTGTTCTGAAATTGTTTTCGAATCAAAATGTCTGATTTTCTACAGCAAACAATTATTGAAACAAAATGTGAGAGAGAAATATACTTAAAGCCTAAAAAATTTTAAGTAATTTGCATGTTCCTTGCAATAGTAGTTCATTTCAGACAATTTATTTCAGAATTCTAATAAACTTTATTATTACTTAAAATATATTATAAAGTTTTATTATTATTACTATTTATTATGAATTTATATTAAAAAATCAAGGCTTGCAAATAGATACACAGTGATTATAAAGTTATTAGATATTGCTTGCTTCTTGCATTCAGAAAATTTTATATATATATTACTACATATAATATTTTTATGTAAAACAAAAGTTAGCAAATTTTTAATGCTTAATAAATAATCTAAAATTTAAAAATTATGTCACAATGAAAATGTATAATATTATTAGAAATATTTATTCCACATAATCTTATATGAATAATAAAGAAAAGATGATTATTATTCTTTAGTTCAAAAATCATATGTACAAAATATATGATAATTGTATTTAATATAATATGTTTTGATGATATAACTTGTATTACATCTTGTAATTTTAGAATAAATGCTTCAGTTTATATATCTACTCTTAAAAATTTTTGTTTCATTGAAAATTCATTAATTGTTTATGCTTGGACAGTTTGATTGAAATATTAACTTTTTGATTGATTTCGGATTTGTTTCCTATCTTCGTATTTATTAAATCAATTTAATTAAGTTAAATATTATGTAAATATTATTTAACTTAATTAAATTTTATATATAATATGTATAATTTCATCTATTTTCTGAATTTTATTACTTTTTAATATTAAGTTCGATTGTCTATTTTTCCTTGAAAGTAAAATGAAAAAAATGGATTTATGTATATATTTATCATTTTATATTATGAATTTTATTCTGAATTTATTAGTGTCATTTGAATTTGAAATAATAATGTTGTACTTAATCAATATACTGATACTAACATAACTGAATAATGATTATTATAAAAATTTCTTATTTTAATGGAAGTAAATATGAAATATATATTTCTGTGCTTGCTTTTAAATAAGAGATACAGTGTATCTTGGGTTTTTATTAAACAATTTTACATTGATGATAAATCTTAAAAATAAATTTCATTTATAGCAGTGTTTTATCTGTATTGGACCTTTATAGACATGTTTGTGGATTCACATTGTCATTAAATTTTGTCGTCTTTTCTCCTGAGTTTTTTTTGGAAAATTTATATTTATTTTCATACAATTACTGTTCCATTGTATTTTGTAGAAAAATTAAGAAAGCCCGCAAGTTTCTTTCAAATGACCATAAAAGTTTATTTTAGTAAATTTAATGAATTTGTGATGTCATTTTCTATAGATCAGTCAACCACAAAAAAAAACAATGCATATAATTTATTTTGGAAATATTAAATTAATAAAAGTTTATTATTAACATAATCAAAATAATGATGTGCAACTGGCTAAAATTGCATGTGGTATTGCTACCATTTAATTACTCTCTTTGGCTGAATACCAATAATCTAGTTCAGTATTCTTCAACTGTGGGTCTGCAGATCAGTTCCATTCCATGAAAATTTTTGTAGACTGGCAGAAAATTTTGTAGTAATTAAAATAATAAAATTTTAATATAAACAGATTTTATTTATTTTTCATTGTTGCAATTGTTTAAAGTTCACTATAAATCAAAATTTTATTAAATATTATCAGAAAATACTACAATTACTATATACTAATAATAATTAAAATAATTCATAAAATAATTACATTTATTCATGACAGTTATCAAATGAGCATCACTCTTATGATAAATCCCCCATCCTTGTTATACTTAGTAGGCATTGCAGTATTGCATCAGCTTACTTACTGGTGACATGTAGCAAAAATTTTTATATTATTGTGGCTGTGCACCACTTGAGAGCAAGTGATCGATGTACAAAGGAAAACAACAACATTGCAATACACAGTAACCAGTATCTTGTTATTGCCAGTTAAGACGGTTGTGCATGTCACACACACATCTAAGCAGTTTAAGTCTAAGAAAATTTTTCTTCAGCCTTCTGCCAGTCTGCGAAATAATATTCCTATTTTTGCCAGTTACCAGATATGGAAAGGTTGAATTGTGATCTAGTTTACTGCTTGACATAAAACCTAATAATGCTTGAATATTTTGAAAGTACTTTAAAAAAATTTTTATGTTCCATCTACTTCCAATGTTTCTTTGAAATATAATTATTGTCTCTTAAAATATATAATTTCAAATTAATTTGTTATGAATTAACAACATTTCTTTCAAATGATGAAAAAAGTAATCCTTAACCTTCATGAATATTTCTGTAAAATATAATGGAACAAATCTATACAAAGATACATAATAAAATAAATTTTGTTTTATTAAGAGTATCAAAAGAAAAATTACAAAAATTCATTGATTCATTGATACTGCAACAAAAGTAAATATTCAATGTTAATGTTCACCAACTAACAAAAGTGTGTAATTTTCATTGAAAAAAACAAGCTCATTGCTGGGTACATCTGCTAGTATGTAAATAAGAGAACTGCTAATACTCGAACAAGTTTTTAGAGTAGATTTGAGTTTTGATTCTGTATGGTTTGAAGATAACTATATTAAAAGATCATACGTACATGGAAAATCTTGTTAATAAAGATGGTTGAATGGGAAGCAAATACTTAGTGTGAAAATATAATTAATTCTTATTAAGCATAATGATCTTGTTCTTATTTAATATTCTCCTGAATTTTAGTTCATAACTTTTTTCAGAATAAAATTATATTAATCCATTATATTCTATATATAATTTTATGTCAGATTATTTTAAATTATAAAACAAAACATATTTTAGAATATTGTCATCGTTTATTATTTTTACTTAGTTTTACATTTATCTTATCCCTTTCATAGTGTTTGTTTGAATTTGAATTCCTTTATCATGAAGCAGAATTTCCCAAGCATGTATTGCTTTTTATATAGACCTAGCTGACTTTTTTGTAAATTTTATTATGTTTTCTAAATATGATACAAGTACAGAAAGAAATAGTAAAGAAATTTTTAAAATATTCAATGTCTTTTCACATTGTAATATTTCTGGCAGGTGATTGATGGACTGCTTTTGACAAAGACTTTATTTTGCAGTAATATTTGTTTTCCATGCCATTTTGAAATAGTATGAAATACCTGCCATTGTAAAATGTGTGCTTGCTTATGTAAATTTTTGTGAAATGTTGGAATTTTTTGTAATGTCATTTTATTAATTTATTTTTATTTGTTTGACTCAAAGAAATTTAATTGTAAAAAAACAAAACACTTTTCAGTAAAATGAAAAATTTCTTTAAGATAATCTACTTTGAGACCATAAAGATACAATAGCATTCTGTATTCATTGGGAATACAGTAGAGCGTCGATTATCTGAATGACAATCAGCCGAAACATTGGTTAACCGAAAGCATTCCAGTCGGGCTGTGTCGTGCTGAATCAAATGTTTTTGATAATAGATTAACTTCTAAAGTATAATATTTTTAGATTTTATATTTTTCAATATATTTATTTTGCTTGTACAAAATAAAGAGATAATTTTTAATGATACGATAGTCACGATTATTGTTATAAAAATTTTTGTTAGGCTTAACATTGATGAAAATTTAATGCAAAGCAAAACGCAACAGAGAGAAATTTAAACATGGGATATATTAATTAATATAGTATATTAACAATGTATTCTTTCGTACATAATCGGTTATCCGAAAAATTGATTTTCTGGACAACCCCAGTCCCCAATTGATTCGGATAATCTGATGTTCTATTGTTATGAATGTTTGTTTCTAGAATTTTCCTTTTAATATATTTAGATGGCATTTGACTGCAGGTAACTGAATCTGTGAAATACGAAATTACAAATAAGGACAGACTATTGTGTATGTCTGTAAATATAGTAGAATTTCAGTTATCCCAAGTAATTTGGACTGACATATCTTGGGTAATATGAAATGTTAGACAAATAATGCATAAAAATCCACTTTATTTAATAAACATGTACTATATGTAGACCTACTTATTTAAAATGATGATTTTTTACATTATACTACAAAATACTTTGTACACAGGAGATGAAGTTGCTTGTATGAAATTAAACATACTTGTTAATCTGTTTCCAGAGGTTAGTAAAATTCAAGGTTCAAGGTTAGTAAAATTAACATTAATATACATTTCAAATAAACTTAAAATTTACAAATATTCTTATAAATGGCAATTCTTAAAATGATAATACTTTTAGTTTTTGAATATTATCAATGCTAATTGATAATATTCAAAAACTAATGTATTATCATTTTGTATGGATAACCTATTTGATTGCCTGTATTTAATTAAAAATCAGTTTGAAAGTAAATAATTTTATGCAGTAGTGTGTATTATCTGCTGATTTTAACTTGTAATTTACTCCACAAATAGCTTTTATTTTGTAGAAATTTATCAAGATTGTGTTTATAAAATGCATCTTGTCTTTGATTTTCTTGTTCATTTTCTGCACATCAATACACACTTTGATATTATTAAATACCTAAAAGTTAACTTTGAAAGCTGGTTTCTGGTAATAACAATATATAATAACTTCTCCATGTAATAACTACTACACAATTATTTAAAGAAGCTTTTGTTTAGCATCTTATTGTCAGTTTTGTTTTTACTATATAAAGCAAATAGAAGCTGAGTAATCAACTCTCAAATGTATATTGCTGACCATTAAAATCTCTTCTATAATTTTTTTTTCAAAGTTATTTTAGCATTTAGTATAATTATTATTTGATTCATGAAGTAGAAATGAAGTTTGGGTGTTTGGTGGCCATTTGTATTTTTGATACTTAGGCAGTTTGATATTCCATTTGTTCCATTTCATTTATTTTATAATTATATCTACAAAGGACTACAAAAACAAAATGAAATGAAAATGGGGAAACAAAATATTTGAGACAATACATCATGTTTTGTTTCACATTTTTTGTAACTACTTTAGATGTGACATGTATACTGTGTGTGTGTATATATATAGTGATGTAGTGATTCAGGTTATACAAAGGTTTTGTTTTCCTTCCAGCAATTTTTTGCAGTATATATATGCTGAGATTACAGTACATTTATAAAGTAATAAATTATAATAACAGAAAAGATGACAGCCTCCCATCTCAACTGTGGAAATGATGTTTGTTAAAAAAAAGAAGAAAAAGGCACTATTGGTAAAACCACAGTTATCAAAACAAAATCTCTATAAGAAGGAAGGAGTTAGAAGAAGAATGATAACCATGACACTGAATATATATTTTACATTAAAAATATAACAGTATAATGAAAATTTTTGTAGATTACAAGAAATGAAAAAAAAATTCTGAAACTATTTCAAACTGGTTGAGAAGCATCAATTCTTAACTTTTAATAGTTGTGAAGTCTTCATCGTTCTTTTTTGAAGTCTCTTGAATTCTTTGTAGAGTACCAATAATGTTTTCTATTCCTGTTTAAGTTAAAAAATACTCCTGGAGACTGGGTCAGTGTACATAAAGTGATTAGTATGATCATATATCATCATTAATACCTGTAGTAGGTAAAAAGAACAATATTACTTTCAACATTGAATTACAGATATTTTTTAATTAATATAAAGAAAACATTAATTATATATTATTTAAATTGGAAAACATTTAAAAATTTTAATAATTTAATTGCAGCTTATTTTCTCTCTCTATATATATATAAAGTATCTTTTGAGGACTAATAAATATTGAAAACAATGTGAGTATATAAGGAAATATATATAATTTACTTTAACTTCTGATTCTAATGTTCTTAATGTACTCAAATAATAGATGGGATGAGAATGAAAAGAAGTTATTGTTTTATATAAGTTTTTGTTTACTTGATTTTATATATTTGTAAATGTATTAATATCAATAATTCACAAATTATTTCAGCCTTGTGTATCCTTTTATTGAAATATTTCATTATCTTATATAGTTAAATTTTGGGTATGGTATATATAATAAACATGACAACATGATAATTACTTCAAATATTAAATGAACAGTCAGATTTCTTTATTAAAATTAATTATTTTCAGAAATTTGAAACAGAGCTTATCTGTATATAGACAAAATTAATTTACATTATTTTTACCTTACTAGAATTTTGAACATGTGTATATGCTCACAATTTAAACTTTTGTGTATGTGTGATATATAACTAATGTGGAAATTTGTGTTAAGAGAGAATAACTCTAAGATTGTTAAATAATATTTACTCTACTCAATATGCAAATTTATAAATTAACATTAATATTTGAAAATAATTTCAAATTGTCTTTGTTTTAGAATATGGTTTTATTGCATGTATAATACTGTTCATAGATTTGTGTACTTAAATAACATGATAAATAATATTCCTGTGACATCGGTATCATGTACAATATGCATTGTGATAAGAATTGGTAGTATTGTTTATGATGATGATGATTTCTAATATTGGTGTATAAAATTGAGTTCAAATGGAGAAGAGACCACATGAAATTTTAGAGTAGAATAATACAAGAAATGGCATTAACTAATTTTTGTTGGTACCAAGACAATTGTTAAGTGACATCAGAGATATGTCATGTCTGAAGCTGGTTAAAAACTTGAATATCAGTGAAAAGCATTTTCTTTCATAATTGATATTGTACTACAGTGTGAATTAGTATATAGAAAAATAATAAAAATAACAATTATTGTGATATTTTTATCAGTTAGATATACTAAGATTTCTAGCTTGTGTGTTTCTGGTTAACTTAATGTCTTTGATGAAAACTTAAAAGTAAACTTATTTTTTAAATATAAGTTGATAAATTGTAAAGTACATATAGAATGATAATCATTCTACCTTTATAATGTTGAAAAACTTAGACTTAATCTATAACTCTTTTTTTCAATGCAAAGTAAAATGAGGAGGTTCCTTTTTCCACAGTTATTCTCTTGATAATTAAAAAATTTGAGATAAAATGTCTAGCAGTTTTAAACTTTAAAATATTAAATTTTGTATAAGTTTGACACCATATCTTTTTGTAAATCCAAATGAAATGCTTTAAAATATTAAGTTTGATTTCAAAAACTTTTTATTCAANAGGCAACGGATAAGATGGATAGAAGAAATAGAAAAAGTCACAGAAATGAAGCTGGATGAGCTACGAGAGACAACAAGGGAAAGATCAAGATGGAGAAGACTTGTCCATGAAGTCACCAGGAGTCGACGACGACTCGATGGAACTTAACAACAACAACAAAATCTAATAAATTTAAGCAGTTTTAAAATTAATTTATAATTAAAATTTTATTTTAAGAATTTGTTAAACTGCATTTCTTACATGAATTTTCATTATCTGTAGAGACCACCTATGCTTCCACCTATGAATGTTCCTCCTCCAGGCTATGCAAATATGGGGCCAAATAATCAAGCTGTCACAACAGTGAGTTCAGCATCAGGAACATCTGTTACTGTGTCTGGGATTGATCTTACTGGAGAGATATGGGTTGAAACAAAAAGTGCTGAAGGAAAGGTAAGCAGTTCTAAAGTTGTAATTTGTAAAATTTAGGATTAAAAGTTTAAATATATATATTAATAAAACGAAAAGAACATAAAAAAGAAAATACATAATTAGGACATCATGACATTTAAAAAATTAGATAAATCCAATTCTCTATAAATGAAGTTATATTTTTTGTATACAAAGACATACAAATTAAATTTTTATCTCATACTAATTCAAATTACATCAGTTTTTACACAGAAAAAATCTTTACTAGCAACTTTTAATTATTGAAATCAAATATTTTCATTGCCTAAGTAGGGAGGTTTCTTGCTATAATGGTATAAAATTATGTTTTAAAACATTCCTGGAGAGGTCAGTGGAATGCCTACTAACTTATTTACGATGTTGTCTTGATGTTGTTCTAAGCAATTTAGTAAATTTCTGGTTATGCCCCATATAAAAAATTTTTGAATCAGAGCTCAAATCTTGCTTGGGAATTATACAGAAACCTGATTTTTCTAGATCAGAAAATTTATCTGTCATTACAGATAATTCTACATAGATTACAACTGCAGTTTGATAGAAAGAATTGTCTTATATTTTTTTGAAACTGCAAACAGTTCATAATATGACCAATCCTAAATATGGTATAGCAGAATGTGCAATTACTAAATTTTTATTTTTTTGTAAATAAAGTTGTAAAGGTAAGAGAGCTTCTATAGACTAATATGTTGATATGCCTAAGTTTAGCAAGAGAGTATCCTGCATTGTTTACTGCTGCAACTATTATTTGTAGATGTGTTTGTACAAGAAACTGCAATGAAGGATGTAGCTCTGCATATGAGAACAGAAAGCTGTGTTTTTAAAATCAGGATGTAGCAGGAATGATGTATGGGTAGTAAATCAAAGTTATGATTTAATGTATAGCGAAGACCCTGATTGGTTTTTTGAATCAATAGATCTAAAAAGTCAATTTTATTATTTTCTTCTCCCTCTACAGTGAAACGATATAGAAGGATGTACTGTAAACTGCAGATAAGAGCTGTATGAAATTTGATAACTCTTCAGACAAACCATCCCATGCTATTAGGATATCATCAAAAAATGTGATATCCTAATATGTGGTTTTAATACTTATATTCATTTTATAATGTTAATCTATTTACATATAATTTTATCATAATCAGTTATAATTTAAAGTTTTTTGGATACTTCATCTAATCACATAACAAAGACTTTGTACTCTTCAATAATAGTTGGGAACTTACTTTAATATTGTTAATATTTTTGGAAACTGTCTGATCATATATTGAATAATTTGTAAACTGTGTCATTACATGTATGGAATGTTTCATTTTAAAATATTTTGTGTCTTGTTTGATGTACAAAATGCCTCTCTCATCTAATGAAGGCCCCTTAAAGTGGCTTAAAACATTTGTGCATTCATTAAATTTTATGTGCTGGAGTAAGTATAAATGGTGTGAAGTATTTTTAATCAACAGTTTTAGTTTTTGAGCATGTTTAAGATATCATCAACATATCTAAGGTAGAGACTTAGATAACATATAGTAAGAGGGGAGGAGAAAACTTTAAATTCTATATTCCTTATAATCAATTCAGCCAATATGGCAGAAAGGGGTGTGCCCATTTGTATGCCCTGTTTTTGTAAGTAATACTTGCCATTATAATAGAAATAATTGTGCTCAGTTACCAAGAGGAGAACTTTCCATACATCTGCCACCTGTTGTTATACAGACATTTGTAAAATGTTGAAAGTACTTGTGTGCATTTGGATTAAACTAAATTAATGCCAAAGGACAATGTTTGTTTATTAAATGTGAACTCTTAGTGCAAGGGGAAAAAAGTCAATAAATTAATCTGGAGGGGGACCATTGTGTATATAACATAAAATCATTATTTACAGAGAAATAATGATTTCATCCCTGTAAATAATGACTTCATTAAATCCAGTTTGATTCATCATTGACTGACTCCCTGATGACTCAAGTTTAGCACAAATATGTCTAAGTGGCTACTGAACCTAGAACTGTTCTAACCAAATGAATCAGAGATTTGATTGTCAGTCTACAGATGTTGATCACTTAACCAACTGTGTACATTACATTTTACAGTTCTGTAGAGCAGTGGTCTCCAAACTTTTTTCACTAAGACAAAAAAATTGTAAGTTGTACTCCCTACAATATAATATAATGTGTGTGTGTGTGTTAGTCAAAAATCAAATTATTTATTTATTTATTTTAAACAATATACATATATTTAAATTAAATTACAAATTTACATTTTGTAAATTTCCCAATTTTTTCTTCAAAATACTGTGTGTGTCCCCTATACAGTCAAAATACTGTAATTCAGAATTACAGTATTTTGACTGTATAGGGGGGACACAGTATTTTGAAGGAAAACATGGTGTACCCCGCAAGTATCACTTTGCAGACCACTGCTGTAGAAGAACCTTTTATCTGCAAGGGTGAGAGTAGTGAAGATACTTGCCATCAATTTGAAGAATATAAGAAGGATGCTTGATAAAATAAATGAAATGATGAATTAAAGCACTATAATCACAAAATGCTAACTGAATTACAAGTAGATGCCAGAAAATATGAACTTTGAACTGTACCAGTGCAGATTGCAGATCCAAGCCATCATATCTATTGTGATCACTTATGCTGGCATTACTGACCAAATCAGAGAGGAACTATTCAATGCAGGAATAGTATGTTACTGTTGTATGGGTTATTAAGTCATTATGATCATCACTATGTTGATTGACTAGTTTATAAGTTCCTTCAGGTCAATTTGCCTAGTCTCTGTTTTCAAGAATATAATGATACTAATGTTCATTAAGTTTAGTTGTAAATGTCTAATGTTGATCCATTTTCTAATAGTTCCATCAAAGCTCAGACAATCGGAGGTGTGACCAGCCTAATTACTATGGTAAATTGACATCATCATTAGCAGATACAGTCATCCAAAAGTTGTTTAATAATTATGACATCATCACAATACCAGGGTGCATTTTTAATCATAATTCAAAAATGATTATAAAGCCTTACAACCACTGGATTACATCAGACTACTTTTACATGATTATATTTAATTAATTGTTAAATAATTTGTCACTAGAGGGAGTTGTTAGGCACTATCTCTTATTAAATTTAATAATTATAATTAAATTAATATTTATTGGGCTGCAATTTGAAGAAATTGTAGACCTGTAAATTCCCACTATCATCTGTCTGTCTTTCATTAATCTTGAGAATGGAGTTAGATAGATGAAAGACAAGACCAGATATGGAAACCTTTGGGGCAAGAGGCCTTGATTAACTATGTGGTATGGCTAGAAAATAAGACTGTGATTGCCTGCATGCAACGGTTGCATGTGAGCCAAGATGAGTGGGTAGGTAAACGACCTCGAACAAGTTAGAACAAACAAGCACAGTGAGTCTCAATTTGCTACTGCTATTAGATTGCTATGAGTGCCTGCTGCAAGTGGACATGTTGTTGGTGCACGCTAGGAAAATGGCCAGCTTGAAAGAAGAGCAGAGTATCAATCTGAAATTTTTCATGAAATTGAAAGAAACCTGCCACTGAATCTTTGCGCTTGCTATGTGAAGCATACAGAAATGCATAATTTTGTCATGCACATGAGTTTGAATGGCACAGAAGATTTTCTGAGGGCCGAGAGGATGTGAAAGACGATGAACATTCTGGATGGCCCAGCATGTCAAAAACCAAGGAAAACATGAAAAGTGGAACAAATTCTGAACCAATACTACTACAAAGAAGTTCTGGAATCTTTATAGGAAAGGGTGAGAAGAAAGTGGCAACACCTTGACAAAATGGTTTCATCCTTCATCAGGAAAATGCACCAGCTCATTTTGCTCTGTCAATGAAGCAGTTTTTGGCCAAGAAGGGCGTCACACTATTTGAACACCCACCGTACTCATCCATCCTAGCTCTGTGTGACTTTTACCTTTTCCCTAAAATCAAGTCTGCTCTGAAGGGACACTGTTTTGATTGTTTCTGCTGTCAAGAAAAAAATGATGAAGCTTCTGCATAGCCTTACAGATACCTGCAGCACTGTTATGATCAGTTGAAGTTGCAAATGTAGTGCTGTGTGGAAGCAGAAGGATCATATATTGAAGGGGAACACAACTAAAGTGAGAATACCACTCAAGATTTAAAGTTCCAGCTTCAGTCTCATTATTTTCTAACCACACCTTGTTTATGAATTTTTGATGCAAACTGGAAGTATTAGGTGACTAGAATGGCTCTATTGTTAAAGGAAAAGTATGGTGTACAGGAGCAAGATACTACAGTATTAATTTGAGGTGGAGAGCATTGATTAAAAATTGTAGCCCAGCATTGTGACAACATCACAATAAATAATTGCTCATTAAATAATTTAGAATATTCTAGGAGAAAAGAATCGGCCTGGAGTGGGACTCAAATCTGTAATTTCCACTTACCATGTGGATGTGTTGCCAGTTATGCTACTGTGAGATTCTGAAAACCCCCCTAATTAATTGAAAATCGATGTCAAATACATAAATTTTTAGAAGCAATATTTCTGATTTTAAATGGAAAATTTTTAAGTTAAAACGAAGGAAACTAGTAAAATTCACTTCCTTCTCAATGGAAGTTCAACATCCTTTTTGCTTTCCCTTATCTTTACAGATTTTGAGTCACATACAGCCCAGTTACTCCTCTATAAACTTCCATTCATCCTAAACACGTGGGAATAATACAATTCTCTTATTGGAGAAAATCATCAAAAAAGGGGATTCTTTAGTATCATTCGGGGAGTACGCCACAAAATTCCATAGGAGAAGGACATATTCCATACCCACTTTCTACAGCCAACGCCCATATCCGACTCCCATAGTTTATACAAAGTTTGTTATTAAGTTACTTAATACAAGAAAGAAATGTTTATTGAAGTGCCACCAAAGAACTAACCAAAGATAAGAATATTCGCACAGAATCTGCATATAGAAGAAAATATA